CCGCGAGGTCCCCGGCAGCCCTGGGAATCGACACCTTTCTGTTCCGCTTTAAATTAATCAAACCCAGAGTCCCTATATTAATACTGTGGTGGGAATTAAAATCATGCAACGCATTAAAGATGTAATTTAAAATTAATAACTCATAATTATTTATCATGGCGTATCAGCGGGGCTATGAATTTTCTCGCCCGGCATTCATTTCCTTCCCTTTCCCTCCTTCTCACTCCTCTAATAGCTGCTGGACCATTATGAATATCTGCCAGAGATTTTTGGGAGATGCTGAGCTTAAGATAAAATGTTTCTAATTTTTTATTTTTCTTTTTTTTTTTCTTCCTGCCCCCGAGTATTCCTTGGGGTGGATGGGAGGAGAAAAGCTTTGCCGTGCTGAAGAGGAGGAGGATGCTGAGCCTGAGGGTGTTCTCAGTGCCTAAATAACAGTGCAGGTTTTGCCATGTGTCAGTGGCTTCTAAAGAGATAGACAGTCCCTCCCTGTGTGCCCAGCTGGCTTGGCCATGGCACCCATGAAAATCCCAGGAAAGGCCTTGGGAATGGTGAGGGTTTTCCATCTCCACTCTGCTTTGGAGAAACGTGGGACCATCATGAGCTTCTTTGCTGCCCTTCCCCACCAGTGCTCTGAGGGGAAGCATCACCATGAAGAGCAAGATGGATGAATCCCTATGACCATCCTCCACAATGCTCCTGTTCCCCCAGCAGCCAGGAGGGACAACTCATCCATTTTATAGGAAAAACATGGAGAAAGCAGCGGTGAAATCAAGGTGGGAGGAAGAGAGAGAAGCCCAGCATCCCTCCAGGTCCTGCACTTCCCTGCCTCTGTCAGCGAGCTGTGCTGGCAGGGGAATCAAATCCCAAACAGCAGCTGTTGAAAGCTCACAGGAGAGGGAAAAAAAAAAAAAAAAAGAGGCAAGAGCAGCTCTGTCTCTTTAAAAATAAATAAATAGATAAAGACTAAAAAAATGCAATAAGTATATGCAAATGTGTTGAGCCGAACATCGCTGTCTGTGAAACAGATGAGGGAGAAAGTGCTTGAAGCTAGAGAGGAATGAGGCAGCCAGCGCTGACCTCGGGGTTAATAATTTTTACTTCTCCATCTCATTCCGGGAGGGAGGGAGGGAGGGAGGGAGGGAGGAGGCGGTGCGGGAGGGAAGGGCTGGGGAGAGGAATGGTGAGGGGAGCCAGCAGTACCTGGAGCTGGTCCCACCCCATGGGAGCCAGAGGGGTTGGGGGAAAGGGGCTGGTGCAGTGTGGGGCTGAGCCCTGGTGCTCAGAGAGTGGTTTGCAGGAGGCGTCTCACAGAGAGGTGCAGAAAGCGTCGGAAATCCAGGCTCCAGCTCTCCTCTGGATGAGGGTGGTCACTGGGAACGAAATAGCGCATTAAATACCCCGAGTGTTGTGACTTTAGCAAAGCCCTGTGGCCTGTGTGGGGCAGCTCAGCCTTGCAAAGATGCTGGCACCTGGTGGGTGATGATGGAGGGGAAATGCTGCCACATCACCCATCACAAAAGTTTCATAAGCTGGCAAAACCTCTACTGGGAAAGGGCTGCTTTCCCTCAAATCAACGGTCCTTGATGGAAAACCCATCCAATGCCAAATTTCCACCAGCAGCAGCAACATCCCTCATCCCATGGCTCCTGCTGGACTCCTCTGTGCTGCACCCAAAGGTGACCTCAAAAGCTGGTGCACCAACAAGGGTAAAGCCTTGATGTACTTATGGGTATAAATAATTCTTACCCCCTCTAGTATTCCATCAGGCTGCTTGGGTGTTTTCTAAATGAAGCCCTAAATTTTGCTGGGATACCTGGGAAGACACAGCCATAGCCCAGCGCCCAGGATGGTGCTGCCACGTTTGCTGATCTGCACCAACTGAGCTCATTAACCAGATCAACATTCCTGCTTCCTTCCAACCCAGCCTGAGTTTTAGCTACAAAGCCCCTAAAATTTCACCCTGAATGTGAGTGGATTCCCTATATTATTATTTCTAAGCTTGGTGGGTGTGCAGGGGTGTCTGGTGTTCACCACGTCCCCGGGCATTTGGAAGCACATACATTTTTCCTGCTTTCCCCCCATTACATACAACCCTACTACTCAAACACTGAATTAAAGGAAAGGCCCTTTCATACCACAAATAACCCCAAAACCTCACCTGCTGTTGCAAATGGGGGTGAGAGAGTTGGCACTGGGGCAAACCCCACTGTCCTGCACCAA